GAGATGGTGCTCCCTGAGGACAGGCTAGGTTCTGGGGTGGTACTGAAGGGTGTGGTGGTCAGGGCAGGTGTGGATGACATGCTGGGGGAGGCTGAGCTGGCTGTGGTTGCGAGGGTCCCGGGGGTGGACTGAGAAGTGGTCAGGATGGTGACCCACTCAGTGGTGCTGGGTGAGGTGGGCCGAGTGTGTGTGGTGGCTGAGGTTGGATGTCCTGGGACCCCAGATGACCTAAGGCCTGAAGCAATGGGAGTGGTGGTGGCTGTGGTGGGAGTGGGGGTCGGGACTTCCATTGTAGCGACAGAGGTTGGGCTGGGGGCTGCTGTGGTGGAGACGGCTGCCATGGTGAGGGTGGATGCGGGCCCCTGTGTGGTGAGGGTGGTGGTGGAGGTAGACATGGGCCCCACCGTGGGGAGGGTGGTGATGGAAGGGGCCACAGTCCCCACCGTGCCCCCACAGTGCTGGTAGCTGTCACAGCAGAGGACACGCACGTTGTAGTTGAAGCACATGTTGAACTGGCCCTGCTGGTCCTCGTTTCTGCACACCAGCCCCTCCAACAGGCTGCAGGTCAGCACCTGCCCGATCTGGTCCAGGCTCACCTCTGGGTAGCTCTCTGCACGGCACTCGATCTTCTGGGGTGCACGGCATATCTTCCCCCCAGCTGCCCTGATGTTGTCAAATGTCTCCATGTCGCCTCCAGAAATCCCCGAGGTCGGGAAGTCTACGTCAAACCACTCTGTCCATTCACACCTGGGCTGGCACCTGGTGGTCTGCAGGGTTGTGGTGACCGTGGTGCTGGCGGCCCCTGGGGACGTCCTTGTTGTTGGGAGCACAGTGTGACTCGTTCCTGCTCTGGATACTGGCGTGGACACCCAGGGGCTGAGGCTCACTGAGGTTGTTCTCTGGGTGCTGAGAGTTGAAGGGACCAGTGTGGAGCCCTCTGGACTGGTAGGTGTATGGGACCCTGGAGGAGATGTGGGCCTCCCAGGGCCCGTGCTCCTGGTAGTGGATGTGACGAGGGTGTGGGTGGAGCTGTGGAGGGGAGTTGGCCCAATTGAGGGGAGCAGCGTTGCAGTGGTGCCAGCTTGGGGGGTCCGGGTAGGTGGCACGGTGGTGGCATGTCCCTCACAGTGGCTGAGGCTGCAGCACAGGACACGGATCCTGTAGTTGTAACACATGCGGAACAGCCCCTCCTGCTCCTCGTTCCTGCAGACCAGGCCGAAGCTGGCGTCACAGTGCACCCTCTGGCCCACCTGCTGGAGCGTGTCGTTTGGGAAGTTCTCAGCCTGGCACTCTATGTCCCATGGCCGCTCACATATGTCCCGGCCTGCTCTGCGGATCTTATCGTAGGACTCGATGTCCCCTCCGGCCTTCTCGGACTTGGGGTAGTCTTCATCAAACCACTCAGTCCACCGGCACTTGGGCCGACAAGTGGTGGCGCCCGGGGACCGGGAACTGCTGACCGACTGGGTCATGGTCATTGTGGCTGCAGTCTGCAAGGTCAGTGTTGTGGAGGACTTGGAGTTTGGGGTCGACTGCAGGGTGGTTTCTCTCGTGGATATGATTTGAGGCGGGGTGGGCAAGGACTTGGAGCCAGGTGCCTCTGTCCTGAGGGTGGTCGCAGGCATCTCTGTGGTGGCCCTGGGCTGGGGGGTGACGCTGGGGGTTGGCTGGGGGCTGGTGTGCGGGGTCAGGGAGGGGCCGCAGGGCTCAAGTGCACAGCACAGGACCCGCAGCTCATAGTTGTGGCAGAGAGGGGGACTCTGCTCACGGTTGAAACACGTCAGCCCGTGGGCACGGTCACAGTCCACCCGTTGGCCCAGCTTCTCCAGGGCCGTGTCAGGAAAAGGCTTCGCCCTGCACTGGATGTCGGAAGGAGCTTCGCAAACCTGGTAGCCCTTCTGCTTCAGGTCTGCAAACGTCTCGAAGTCTCCACCTCCCATCCCAGGCTCAGGACGGCTACTGTCATACCAGTCTGACCAGGCACAGACGTCCTGCACGCACACGGTGGGGGCCACTGAGGGTGTGGGTGCTGAGCCTGGGGGGAGCGTCAGGGGGAATATGGCATCAGGGGAAGGATGGACACGGGGGGGAAGGGGGTCACATCAGGGGGAGGGGGTCAGGGAGAAGGGGTGTCAGTCGGGGTGTCAGCGGGAGGATGGATGCAGGAAAGCAGGACACGTCAGGGGGAGGGGTGTCGGGGAGAAGGGGTGTCAGTCAGGGGGTGTCAAGAGGAGAAGGGGGTGTCAGTTGGGTGTTGGGGAGAAGGGGTGTCATTCAGGGGGTGTCAGGAAGAGAAGGGGTGTCGGGGAGAAGGGGGTGTCAGGGGGAGAAGGGGTGTCAGTCAGGAGAAGGGGGTGTCAGGCAGAGAAGGGGTGTCGGGGGAGGGGTGCAAAGTCGGGAAGCCAGTGGGCGCTGTGGACGCCTGGCAGGGCCCCTGGACTGACTCGGAGGCCCCGCCGGGTTTCACCCAGCCGCCTGTGCCATGACAGGTGCCAGGGCCGCCTCACGGGGAGCCCAGGTGGGGCGTGGGCATACCCCCTACACGGCCCCGTGCTCACCTGCTGTGGCCGGCGGCGTCACTGTGGCGGTGAAGTTGAATGTTGGGAACGTGGTCATGGGACATTGCACAGCCTCCCGGTGTATGGTGCCATTGTCCCGGCAGATGGCGACCAGGCAGGCGCCCAGCCCGTCGGGGGTGTTGTAGATTTCATCCTCGTAGCCGTAGGTCCTGCCCTCATAGGTGCACGTGCAGGCTGCGGGCGGAAGGTGCCGGCTCCCTCAGCCCCAGCGCTGCAGCGCCCCAGCCGCCCTGGCCCCAGCCCCCCACAAGCCTGGCCCTCCTTACCCTCCAGGCGGTGCTCGCACTGGACGCCGCCGCTGGTGCAGGTGCTGCGGAGGGGAGACGAGCCGTGGGCCCTGGCGCTCAGCCCCGCCCCGTCCCGCCC